GATGGTAAGATTTTAAAAACTAGAAGGGCAACCATCCACATATATTTTCTGCTCAAAGATACATGGATTATGTTCCTAACTATGTAAAATTTTGAAGCAGAAACTTGATGAGTACGAACTCTAATTATAACGGGATTCCTTTTGAAATAGTCAAGAATTTTAGTTGTGAGATGATTAATTTAATTAGAAATATTTTGTGAGTTCTACTCCATGTTGTGTTTGGATTAATTTAGAAAAATTTGTGTGTTATAGTTGTGTTATGATTCTAAAATAATGATTTAATATAATAAAATAAGTATTAGGTTAGGATAAGGATTTAAAATCCTAGTTGGATTACGAAATATTGAGTTCTTATGGCGTTCGGATTAATTTTAGCAAACACTGATTTAATGAATAAAGAGATCTAGTACAACACTAGGACCACTAGAACAAGGATTTCATATCTCTACTCGGTTTAGTGTTTGTATTAATCCATATATAATAAGCGTTCGGCCTGATTTCTGTGCGTCAACAAAGCCGAGAGCAAGAGAAGGAAAAGTTCTCTTCAATCAGCCAATTAACAATCTTTTCTTCTGCACAATGCCAAGCAAAATCACCAACTCTAATTCAAATTGTCGTCACCATCGTCAGTGCTTATCCTCCGCCTTCAATGTCTTTTGCCTCATCATTGGAATCCTCGGATTCCTCATGGGATTTATGGCTTTATACAACTACAACAGCTTTAACCTAACTTCATGGGATGGTGAGGGAATTGTGGGCGGATCCATTGCGCCCGCACCCGGCTTCAGCGAGAGCCGTCAGGTGCTCGGATTTGTAGGGGTGCAGACGGGGTTCGGATCGACAGAGAGGAAAGCCCTTCTAAAGACCCGGTTCCCTTCCGATCCTCAGAGCCTTCGCCAACTTGAAGAGTCAACGGGCTTGGCTTTTCGATTTGTGATCGGGAAGACAGGCGACGAGAATTTTATCCACCACACAAACATCTTCTATCTTCTCACCATTTCTCCGAAGTTGATTCACTAAGCCCAAGACTCAAGTGAAATAGTCTGCAAGCAATTCACTTTTCTCCATGTCTAAATTTTTGAAATCCTTTCGAAGTGTTTGGAGTCACACCTTCTTCACCTTCTCCACTCTCTTATAGGGTTTTTACGTATCTTTCAAGCTTGTTTTGAGATTGTTGCATATGAGATCTTCTCAAATGCTGATTCATCAACTCCTTGACAGAGAAAATAAAGGGATCTATTATCTTTCATACTAGAGACTCTTTAATCGAGTCAACTAATAGCTCACCTACATCTAGAGGCTTCTCAAAGCCTTTCACCACAACATCATGATAATCTATCGATTCTAATAGAGCCTTCATTTGAATGCATCAATTTTCATAATTTTCTTTGATGAGTTTAGGAGCAACAAACAACATCATTCTATTAGAATTCATCTTAGCTCTGATACCAATTTGATAGTAATATTTTGCCAGAGTAAATAATTTGGAGGAAGATAAAATATTCTTCGATTTATCTTAGCATATTTCAACTTACAAAATACATATATATACATATTACTACAATGACTCTTAGACTTCCTACAATGACTCTTAGACTTCCTACGAAAGACTCTAAAACTTCCCACTAATATTCATGCATCTACCACACTCATGCGTTTGACTCCTCAAATAACTAATTAAATGAACCTTTCCTATTCCCAAAATAATTAATATAGTTTACTTTGATCAGCACTATCTCCCTTAGAAATCTTTAAATCTATTATCAGCTATATACCCCACTTCATCTTCGAATCTGATTACCTCTAAGACATCTTCATTGTGTTTTCAGATCAGAAACGATTGTGCCCATGATTGATTATCATGTGAAACAACGTGAGAATGAAGCAACTTGGAGTCCTTGGGGGGTGGGTGGTCCCCAATATGAACTGTTTTTGCCCATATGAGATAAAAAGAAGCAAAGAACCCTATTGAGAAGAAAAAGTTAAATTGCATGCATTGCTCTCACTGTGTATTATATCATGTTTGCTGCGATGATCACCTAAATACAGTACACGGCTAATGCCCATGTGCCTAAATCAAACCTAATCCACTTAATTACCTCAAAAAGTGAACTAGTTGTAGTGACCTATATTGAATCACCAATTTTTTTTAATTAGTTTGTTCTTCTTCTGGGTGTTTTTTATATACTTTTCACTAAATGATGCATAGATATCTATTAATAGATTTGTAAATTTTAAGATTAGGGCACTAATACATCATGGGTGCTCCTGCAATCATCGACTAGGCTTGTATACGGAAATATTTAAGGCTCTGTTTGGATACCATTGCGTTTTACTTGTTTTTATGGTGTTTTTGCCAAAAAAACACCATATGTTTGGTAACCATGGTGTTTTTTGAGCTAAATCATCCTCAAACCAAAACCACATCACTTATTTTAAAACACCTAAAAGGTGTTTTAAGTTTGGTGTTTTGGTTGAGTTTGAGAAGGTGTTAATATAATATCTAACATAATATATTAAAGGTAATTAATATAGAGTTATTATCAACATGCTTATTATACTATACTATATTATACTATAGTTAATCTAATATATTAGTAATATTTATTGAATAATATAAAAATATAATAAATAAAATATCATATATAACAATATAATAACATATTAAATACTAGTATTTAATATGTAAACAATGTATCATATAATAATAAATAATAATAAAAAATAAACTAATGAAAAACAATAAAAAGGTTAGTTATAATAAATAATAATATAATAACATAATAATCTACTACACGAAAGCATAATCGCTATAACATTATTAACTTTTTAATAAATAAATTGCAATAAATTAATAATTATAAAATATTATATAATAGTAACATATTTAAAATAAAATAACAATATAATAATATTATTATAATATTATATTTATATAATATTAAAATATTTATAATATATTAATTTATTAATAACATACTAGTAATAACATAATATTAATATTAATAATAATATTATATTATATGAATAATAGTATAATATGATATTATATTAATAATAGTATAATATTATATTACTAGTAAATAACATTATTATAAAAATATTAATATAATATATAACAAAAACAAATTGATATACCAAAATAATTAAATATATAATTATTTGAAAATAATATGTAGTAATTATAATATAATATAATATAACTCATTAAGTATAATATAATATTATAATACATTATACAATTTTATATTGCATTATATTTAATACTTCTAATACTAAATTAATGTAAACTAAATATTATAACATTTTATTTATAATATATTTTATTATAATTAATATATAATATATTAATAATATGTTTAATACTAATGTTATAATGGGTCAAACTAGTGTTGATAAAAAATACTTAACATGGCGTTTTGAAAATGTTTTAAGGAAAAAGCACAACACCATGGTGTTTTTTTATAAAAACACAACAAAAAAAACACTAAATTTTTGCATTTGGTTTTTCTATAAATTAATATAGTTAGATGAGACTATTGTCTATCATCTACAAGTCAAGAGTTGTATCCTATTCAAATTAAGGAAATTATCGTAGGGATTGCGTTGCTTAATTTGTTTGTTTCAAAAACCAGGTCTTTAATTTATTATTGTAAAAATCAAGACTAACATACTAAAACATTAAATCTCACAAGGGAGAGTTGAAAACTTCAAATTGCATGTGTGAAATCAATATGACTAAAGCCGCGTAAAAAAGAAAGGCATGCATGAAAAAATAAGTGTTTTTTTTGGGTGAGTACTTACAAATCTTTTTAACTAGGAAAATGATAGAGGCACACCCCCAACCACAACTCCAACCACACCCTCTCTCTCATTTGCTACAGTGCACCGGGCCCCACATGGGATTTTAAATTTTTAAAATCTCATGTGCGGCCCGGTGCACTGTAACAAATGAGAGAGGGTGTGGTTGGAGTTGTGGTTGGGGGTGTGCCCCTAGTGCCACCCTTTTAACTATGTTGAGACAAAGATAAACATCATTTTGAGACAGTATTAGCACCACCATGGGTCCGAACCAGCTGAGACCCTGGGCCCGGGCCGCTTTATTCCCCCCACGACACACTGCCTCGGTCCACGCAAAAGCGGGGGCGAAACCCTAGATTCTCCAAGGACATTGACGGGTAAACAAACAGACCGGGATTTTCTTGTTACATGATCATGTTGTCATTTTATTACTTATTATTTCTCTCTTTCTTTTTGTCTGATCAACTTCTTCATCCTTCTCATGTAATTATTATATACTAGTATTCGTCCCGTGCTAAGCACGGCATCATCTTTACAGATTATTTTTGTGCGCATTTTTTTCTCATCTCATTTTTTTGTTTTGTCATGATTCTTAAACATATTTGAAGTCCATCATATATAACTAATGAGGAAATACAGGTAGTTATTTGTTTGCAATTCATCATATACTTGAAGTCCATATTAAACATAGAAACATAGATATTAGTAATACAAAAGTATGTTTAAATCAAGTATATACTTGAAGTTATTGTTTAAACCAGATAGTTAAATCTCTTGCTTAACCCTTCAAATAGTACCAAAGGTTGTATGCTCTCACTGTAAAAATAGTTCCAAAGAAATATACAACACTACTAACAGATAATTAAAACTTCACTAATATTTTCAAAAACTTATCTCAATATCTATGCATTAAACAAAAGTATTTAAACCCGTGCAACGCACAGTTTATAATTTTTTTTTTGCAAATATTACTTATATGAATTTCATGCAATAACATGTAATGTATAATTCATCACGTATGTACATACGGTAAGCAGCAAGTGTCCAAATGTTAGAACATTCTGTAAACTGAAATGGAGACACATTTGCAGCCTAAAGATACATATACGGGACGTACATTTGTAGCAATATACTTGGTTAACATCGTACATTTGTAGCAATATACTTGGTTAACATCATGCAAAAGAACATTAATCGGCTCTCAACCAAAAGTATCATTTCAATTGTAAAAGATAAATATTGAAAACCCAAAATAAACATTTGAGGATTTATAGATAATAGAATTACATTTATGATTTATTCAAATAATATCCTGAGAACGGCAAGGGCTTCAAAACAGATTGGTAATGTATTTTTCTTCAGCATTCTGCAAGCTCCTCCTGAAGCTGTGCCTCCGGCTTCAAAACAGATTGGTAATGTATTTTTCTTCAGCATTCTGCAAGCTCCTCCTGAAGCTGTGCCTCCTGCTTCTTCTCTGACACTTAATTTTTTTCGTTATTCGACTCCCTTTCCCTTTCCAAAGCTCCTCGCAATCTTGCTGCTGATTCAGCATCCTGCAACTTTGCAGCCTCCTCCTTTTTCTTCAGCTTGGAATTCTCTCGTTCCAGTTTCCTAGCATCGGAAAATGCCTTTTCCAAATTGAACAATATTCTTAGATGATTCAATCTTTGACTCTGCAACATCTCTTTTGTTTTCTCCTCAAAAGACTGCTTATCTTTCATAAGACCGGCAACTTCCTCTTCCTCTCGTCTGAGTCTTTGTAGCTCAGTTTTGTCCTTTGCCAACCAGCCAGCAACCTGCATCACATGTTTTTGGGCCCACTCCGACCAATCCTGCAACCGAGCTTGCAATTCCCTTTCGCGAGAATTTAACTTATGTAGTACCTCATCCATCTCATCCTTTTGGATCGAATTAGCATTAGTATTGTCGCTTTTATAATGCTGAGATAAAGAATTAGACTCATGGGCTAATTTTGTTTTATCATCACTCCCCATAGCACAAGCAAGAGAAACATTCATATCACAGATCAGCAACTTCCACATTGCATCTCCTCTACTAAAGGAAGGCGTATAATCTCTAACAATGTGAACCATCTCTTGTAAAATGCTTCTCTCCATCTCCTTCAACTTCTCTAAAGAAATCTCTCTTATAGAAGAATCCACCTCTTGTGCACTTCTCAAAAATGGCAATGCATTGTCCATAACATTAGAAACAGTGTCTTTACTACCATCACAAGATCTGGTGTGCAACACAGCATTTGTAGCAATCTCCTCACTGTCTCCATGAGATATAATCATTGTGATCGCAGACTGAAGTATCATGTCTAAAGTACCAAGCGCAATCTCTTAAGAGTTGTGATTGAAATATATTGCTCCATTCTGCTTCTTGGAATTGCTCTTGTTCTACCTCTTCTACCAGGGACATGAGGTCATGGCTTTTAGACAAATCACACTAGTTTGACTGGTCTTCTTCCATTGGGAACAATTTGTGGATTGAGACAGCGATGAGATCAAATTTAGGTCGGCTCGAAATTTCCTATTGTTTCTACTTCCCCTTTCTTGAATTGAGATTGAGGAGGGTAATAGACTACTTCCCCTTAGCAATCATTGTAGCCATTTTTAAACAATGAATTATTAGGCAAAATCTCAATCAAATCTACTTCCCCTTAGCAATCATTGTAGCCATTTTTAAACAATGAATTATTAGGCAAAATCTCAATCAAATAATCTTGAATGTAGTGCCAATTTTTGAAAAGATATACATGCCTATAATTAGAAAACAATCAATAGATTGCGGGAATTGAATTGATATGCAAAATCAATTCATAGCAAGAGAAGGGAAAATGGGTTACAGACAAACTTTGGATTGATGCGGGGATTAAAGAAATGGAGAGGCCAATGTCCTGCAACAAAGAAGTTGATTCAATAAAAAAATAGGACAACCCAGATAATAAAAAAGACTAAAATCTTGAATAAATTGGTGAAAAACAAAAACCCCAGATATGCTAACTGGAATTATCATCAAAATACATTGAGTAGAGATGAACTAATATGCACGCAAGAATTCCACACAACAAAAGTAGAAGGGGGCTTTTGTGTGTGTGTGTGCGCGCGTGTGTGTGTGTGTGTGTGTGTGGGGGGGAATAGAGTTTTGATGAGGAGAAGAGTAGGGACTCACCGAAGAGCTCGAGATTGATGGGTTGATTCAGTGATCGATGGGTTTGTGAATGATCAAAGAATGAGAAGATGGAGACAGTGAGATCAGATATTGAACCGTCTCTAGAAAACATGCATCATCAGCAAGATCCTGAACATAAATCATATACAAATCGTACATCTACTTCTGGCAATCCTAGAATCGATATGAGACAACAGACCAAATCAATGAATCATAATTATAGAAAAATTACTATTGCATCACAATAATTTTAAGGGGAAAAAAGGCCAAAAATAAGAAATCAAAAGAGACATGCGCTGCAAGATGTTGGAGGATCTTTCTGCAGATCCTTCAGTTCCTTCTAAATCCTCTTTGAAGCCATTGATCACTTACCGATCGATTAGTAAAATCCAAGCAGAGGTCTGAACATGCAACTGGCAATTATCCCAAATGTTTTATAATTTAAAAAGAGATGACATTGTAAATGATATACTAAGATCCATAACCCTCCAAAATCGAACAATAGGACTTGAATTATGCACGGGGAGCTATAGGCCAAAATGACATCAAGGGACAACCTAGTTTTTCCAAAATAACACTTGCAAAAGAGAGTAAATAACCTAAATACCATAGAATGGAGGAGAAAATATAAATACCTGCTCTTGTGGCCTTGTTAAAGCAGGAGAAACCGATATATTGGCTATGAGACCAGAACCAGAAAGAATATTACATGGCATTTAAACTCCCAGCCGCAATTTTTAATAAGATGCTCAACATATAGCATAAAAAACCATACCAACCAAAAAATTATGTTAAATTTCAAATAAATGCCTAGTGCTAGATTAACGAATTCAGTCTGCTACTCTAGCTACAGATAAAACTAATACATTATAGCAAAGCAAATTAAAAGATAGACTTGTGAATTTAGCCTAGATTTTGAAATAATGTATACCAATTTCACTTCTAAGGCTTTCTTGACATGAATAATCGTCTCTAATCCAGGTAGAGAAGAATAGAAATTACGTCTCTAGCATTAATTATAAAATAACACTCTTAGTCCAAATTAATACAGTATTCAAAAGCCAATAACAAAAGTCTATATAAATAATCAAAAAATTGGAAAAACTTGCAGAGGTTTCCTCCAATACATCACAATAACAAAAGTCTATATAAATAATCAAAAAATTGGAAAAACTTGCAGAGGTTTCCTCCAATACATCAAAAAAAAATCACCATAAAATTGACGTTAGAAGCAAGTATTTCAAGGACCTTGATGTAGGAGCATTGATATCTAAAACCCAGAATTTTTTTATCTAAAGATCCAATTGATGAATCATCAAGAACTTACTAAAAAATCCAAGATCATAAATTTTCAACGAAATAGATTTTAAAAATTACTTGAGGCTGGACGTCCCATCTTGGCCTTTTCATCGGCCGATGATCGATAAGGGTACTTTGATTCAAGCATTCAATCGCTAGTAAAAAGATTTGAAGAGATTAGAGAGAGAGAGAGAGAGAGAGAGAGAGAGGATTTGGGGGAAGAACGAAAACCCTAGCTTGAGGATCGTCAAAGGCGGTGGTCGGTCCTCAGCCCAATTAACACTCTAATTTGTACTTAGCATGGGAAGAACGAAAACATGTTCATTATTTATACTTCATATCTAAAGATCCGGCCACCACTCCCTTTAGAAACTTGAACATCTTCTCCTCTCCGTCGATCTGATAGAGATCTTTTCTAGTTGAGAGAGACTGTGCGCGCGGTGGTTTTCTCTCCAATCTGGTGAAGAGAGAAGAGGAATTGGAAGAGGCAGAGGAAGGGGATGGGCCTGAAATGGAAAAGACGTGGGATGTTAGAGAGGAAATTATTTAGGAGGTAAGTCTGAAAACTGAAAAGACGTGGGAGGAGAAGATGCAACTGGCAATACAATTTGTGCGGTTGTGGTGAATTAAGAGCACAATAGACAGTTGTCGGGAATTGAAAGCAAAATACGTGGAAAATGAAAAAGTTTACTGTTCATCCTGAGGTTTTCCTTTAGTTATAAAGGAAAGTAGATGTGCAATATATTCTTTCTTTGTTTCAGTGCAGGTGCATGTGTAGTCCTCCTGTGACTGTCAATTGAATCCTCAGTTTCTTAGTTCTAACGAAATTCTTAGAGACTGGGTTTTACTGAGATCTTGGTTCCATGCAGTTAAAGGGGAGTGTGCAGGGCACACTTACCCATGAGATAGATAAAATAGGATGTGAGGTTCCATTGCCAAATACTCTGCCATTGAAAATGAAGTATAATCTACTAAATTTACCAAACATTTTTGGCTTATAATCCATTTGTGGATTATGATCCAAAGTTGCCAAACATGCTCAGACTACTACATTGATACTCGAAACATAGGAGTATCAATGTATTTCATCCAGTTGCAACATAAGAATGCATGGAGCATTAAATACATTAATACAAACATTGTTATCCAATGCATACTGGATAACATAATTTTATTAGCGTAGTAGTCCATTTGATAAATTTGCAGCAGGTATATCAATCCAAAGGAGATGCAGTTTGATGTAACATGCTACATGAAGATTTCTGCTAGGAAACAAAATGGCCTCATAGAAATTGAAGCTTGTTCTCTTAAGTACGTCTATAACTGTTAGATTCTTGTCACAATATCCCATCAGACAAAACAAAATGTGTGAAACTGACATGGTACCCAGAACCAAAAAAGAAACTAATAAAAGAAAAGGAAGCTTTCTAAAAGTAAAAAGATGATATGAGGTATCAGAACCCCCCCAAAAAAAAGTCCAATCAAGGACATAAGATGCATCATATAATAGTCCTGATCACTTAAAAACATAACTACATCTTATAATGTAAACATAAATAAGAAAATGTGTTGTAGATTACTTACCAGAAGGGAAATGAAAATTTCTCCGCTTGCCTTGCGAACCTCAAAGCATCCCCGACAAGGCTGTAATAAAATGAATAATCTGTAAGTTAATAGAAATAGCAGAAGCATTTCAAATCTCACGTTAAAAGCTGAATACAAACATGTTGGCTTAAGTTTAACAGTGAAAGCCGAATAAACTAGGAGATAATACCTACTTTATTATTCCTTTGAAGAAAACTCAAGGTTTCTGAACAAGTCTCAGTAATTTCACAACACCTTGTTACCTCAATCATAGATACCCCACCCCCACCCCCCACCCAAAAAAAAAGATGTTACCAGTACAAGGCACATTTGGGGGAAAAAACAAGAGTAACATTGTACATCTGTGTAACAGACTATAAAAATATGATAGTGGTCTCGGAAAACCACCCCTCACAAATTGCACACTGATTGAATACGCAAAAACAATGTATATCAACAAATCCTAAAAAGTTATCTCAGTGGCCACAGGAAATGTAGTCAGGCAAGAAGACGATTCCAGCGGACAGGTAAAATAACAACTAAACATAAAATAAGTTAAATTTTCTATACAAAGTTTACACAGTTAAATAATCGCAATCCCCAAAGGTTAAGATGGTTTATGGATAAAAAATGCAGATTGAAGACTCCATAGCCTGACATAAAGTATGGAGTACATCTGAAATTGCCAAACGTAGAACATGTCTGCTTCATTCATGCTACAAATAAATTCTGCGATGCAACGAACATGGGAAGCTACTATAGACTTCACCAACAGATAAAACATGGAATAATTTGACAAAACATGATAAAATAAAAAGTTCTACTGAAGAAGCAAGCATCAACGCCATACATTGCACTTTCTCAGAATAACACATACCTTCTCAGGATTAATTGTGACATCAATGCCAGGTATAGCACTTTCCAAACCTTCTTTTACAATGTTGGCCCTTGTCTTGAATGAATTGCATTGCTTGCTGCGAGGGTTGGAAAAGGGAAGAAAGAGAGCTTGAGTAAATTTTTTGACTTTGTCGCATGTACATACTACTATGTATGGAGTAGCTTCATAGAAGTTAATTATAAAGCATTTTCATTTTCACATAAGACAATGTTAAATCATTAAAATTTACACTAAAATGGGGGAAACTGACTAAACAATGGTTTAAGGCTGCAATTATGTTTCGGCAGCTTTGACTAACCTTGTTTCAGAGAAAAATTGTTGTATTCTTTTTTATGCAACGATCAAAAAGCATCACATCTACTTGCAGGATCCTTTGCTCATAATGATAACCTAAATGGACCATCTAGGTGCTACCCTTGGATTTTTCCGATCACGTTAATTATTAAAGGAAACAGAGTTCTATCTATAGATAAATAGAAAGAGACCAAGATATTGTTCATCTAACCCTAAATTTTCTTAAATAGAGGATAGAATGATATTATAAATTAAATACGAGACAAAATTATATCAAATCATATCTCCCAATATCTTAATAATATCTTATAATATATTCCTTAACACTCTCCCTCAAGTTGGAACATGTATATCATACATGCCCAACTTGTTACAAATAAAGTGCACACACTCTAAT